ATATGATTCAGAAACCACGGAGAGCCAAGAACCATTTCAGGTACAGGGGCCCATTTTGTCCACGCCGGCTTTGGCTTCCTCCTACTGGGCCAGACCTGTTTTCTTGACTAGTTTCCTTAGTTAAGTGACACAGATAGTGTTCTTATCTGGAAGGCGCTGGCCTTGCTCACTTCTAAGACGAAGTCTTTTGACGTTCCAACTTTGTTCACGGCTGTGTGCCTTTTCTTTTGTGGGTTTCAAGTGTCGGTCAGAGGCAACGGCCACTAAGGTAGATCTGCTGCACCCTCTGGTGGCCACCACCTCAGAACATTCTGGGTGGTGCTCTAAGCAAAGGTCAGAAGGACCTGGGCAGCCCTGGGGTTGGGTCATCTTTTCTGCCTCCAAGCCACTGTGTAGGGCTGGTGTCCGGAGTTCTGCTAGGAACACCGCCCAGAGCCCTTGTTCCCCATGCCACAAGTGTCACAGTCAGCGTTCAGGATGCAGTGACCCAGTCTTCACCCACACACAGCTCAAGGTGCTGTGTCCTGTCAAATTGATTCATAGATGAGGCCATAAGCAACGACAAGTTCTTGTTTTTATGGGTATGGCTGCCATCTGCTTGTCTGCCTGTTACCATGGTTTCCGACCTTCTCCGGGCTGAGCCCATGTCTTGCTCACAGCTGTCTCTAGTGCCCATTTCCCTTGATGCTCTTGTATTAGGTGAAGCGCCTCTGGCCCCACCACAGCTCCCCTTGGGGGAAAAAAGCATCCGTTTATGGACAGATTCAGACCAACTTGAGCTCCTTGCTTAGGACAATGCTTCTTTCTATGAAGCTAGTCCAAATGTTGGACAGGATGGCGGGAAGAATGTCTCCGAGTCCAGAGGCAGCCATGGAGGCCACCAGAGGAGGCTGGGCCTAGGAACTCGAGGCTGAGAAGTCCACAACCCATGGAACTTTCTGTTTCAATAGTGTTCATGGATCCCTGACCTAGGAGCTCAAATTTGACACCAAGATCTTTTGCTTTAGGTCTGCTGTGGGCCAGGAATGTGTCTGTGCTGAAAGTGTGGGGACCCAGGTGGAAACGGCTTGACTCCCTGATTGTAGATCACATCTGCAGCATCCTGGGGGCCCACAGCTCTGTCCTCCGCCACTTTTCCATCCTATATCTAATGGCACCATCCAGGAACGGACTCCACTACCCCACTTCCACTTGAAAGCTCAGACCCCTTCTCTAGCAAGCCGGCCTCTGCCTCAGCAGCCTGTCTCTGGTGAACTGCAGGTGGGCCAGCTTGAAGCTTTACACTGTGGTCCTCCACGTCCCAGTGAACTCACACACATCCCTGGGGACTGACGGCCTCTCTGGCTTTCCTCCGTTCCTTCCATCGTTGTCCCTGCTCGGGTCACTCGCTTGCCTGTACACACAGCTGTGGTCTAGAATCAGGGCTCCGTGACCCCCAGCACACCTGCAACCAAATAGGTGGCTCTGCTGCACTCTCTGGTGGCCACCACTACAGAACACTCTGGGAGGTGCTCCAAGCCAAGGCCAGAAGGACCTGGGCAGCCCTGGGCTGGGTCAGCTTTTCTGCCACTGTGCAGGAGGACTCATGTCTAGAGTTCTGCCAGGGACACCCCTTGACTCCATGTCACAAGTACCCCACTCAGTGTTGAGTGCTCAAATCCTTCATCCCGTTTAGGGCCGGGGTTGGAGTGATGGGAGAGGGAATTCAGGAGTCGGCGGAGGCGTAGCGTAGTCTCTGCTGTGATAGACTAGGGTGTACAGCTAGCTCAGCACCGCGAGTCCTCTCTCTCATCTTGACCTGTCGTCTGCCTAGCTTCATGGCAGTGCCTCCTCGCCCGCTGTGGTGAGGTCAGCTGGAGAGTGGCCGGCAAGGAGTGAGAAGAATAGGATGTTCTGCCTTCTAGAGGAGATGAGTAGGGGAGAATTTCCAGTCCCACCCACCATGTGCCTCAGCAGCAGAGGCTAGAACTCAGAGGGCAGGGTGCTTCCGGTGAGGGCTGCCCTGGCTCACAGGTGGAGACAGAGAGAGGGAGAAAGAGATGGAGGCTAGAGAGGAAGAAAGAGAGAGGGAGAGAAAGAGAGAGGGAGGGAGGAAGGGAGGGAGAGACAGACAGACAGAGAGAGAGAGAGGGAGACATTGGTATTCAATGTCTCATTGCTTCTTGTTATTAGAACACAACCCGATCTCACTTGAGTTGCCTCCCAAAGACCCAGTCACCAAATGCCACAGGGAACCACATGGAATCGAGTTTTATTATAGGCTGTGTGTGTGTGTGCGCGCGTGCACACACGTGTGCACGTGTATGTGCATATGTGTACCTTAGCCTGCAGTATTGTTCAAAGTTTACAAAATGCTAGATGCGAGGACCAGCAAGGGCCACTGTGTGAGGTGCCCGAGCTAGGACTGGGTTGAGGAGGACACACAGAGGAGGATTCACTTTACTCTCTGGCTCAGGCCTTGGGTAGCTGTTGTGGGGGAACCGAGGGAGAGGGAAGAGATCCATACGGTGCCCCATCCTGTCCCTCAGAGGCACCTATGGTAAGGAAAGGAGAAAGGAGGCTGCAGCGATGCCAACCCCTCTTCAGCAGCCCCTACCCAGCTCCCCCGCACCCCTGCACAGCTGCTCTGGGCCTCCCAAGTTCACTGCCCCTTAGCAAGCAGCAGCAGGCCTCTGAGGATGCAGCCACCCTCTGTATCAGTAGGTGACCCAGCACTCTGATGATTTCAAAACGTGGTGATGCAGAAATACCTTGTACCTTTGCACGGACAAAAGGTCCCCCCACCTCATACTTAAGCCGTCTATAGATTCCTCACAACCCTGAAGGAGTCGGGAAGCTGTGAGGACTGTTGTTACTGGACTGTTCAGGGAATGATAACAAGGAACGGTCTGTAGCCCTGAATAAGACTACACATAAAACCCACCACACACACACCATGTACACACATCATGACACACATACCATACACTATACACATACATGCCATATACATACACCTCCCACTACCATCATAGATAGCATATACATACACACTCACACCACACAGAGAAAAAGGTCTGCATATACTCACCCAAGACACGTTAAATATATACATATTTCATGTTATATATATAACATTAAATATATACATATTTCATTATATATATATATATATATATGTATGTATGTATGTATGTATTTTTTTTTCTTTCCTATATGTGGTTGGTTGGACACAGGGACTCTGGGACAGAGGGCTGTCTGGGTAATTCCTTCTTGTATTTCCAGAACAAATACGCAAATATCTAAGTATTCAGAAACTTTTTAGTCCCTGAGGTCTTAGTTAGTCTACCAAACACAGGAGCAGCCTGGAGGGTCCTCTGGATTCTCCAAGAGTCTCTGGTCAGATGGGATGTCCAGAGGGTTGTGTGATGTCTAAGGTCCCTGCATGCAGGACGTGCCAGGAAAGTCCTGAAGAAATGTCTGTAGACCCTTAGTGCCTTCTGGCTAATGTATATTACAGGGACTTGGGTCTGAGATCTGGCATGGGTGTTGTGCAGGGGACAAAGGCAGGGAAGCAGGCATGGCCTTAGGGACCAACTACATCACACTGCCACCATGTGGCTGCTTGTCCATTGTGCAACTGAAGCCATAAGCCAGTCTAAGGGAACTGGGTCTCCAATGGAGTGTGTGTGTGTGTGTGTGTGTGTGTGTGTGATAGTGTGTGTGGTGCATGTGAAATGGTGTGTTTGTTGTGTTGTTTGTATGTTGTGTTTTATGATGTGTGTTGGGTGTACTGTATATATGTAGTGTGTGTTGCTATGATGTGTTCATGTATTGTACGTGTGAAGTGTGTGATGTGCTATGGTATGTGTTGTGTCTGTGTGCACTGAGTATGCACAGTATGTTGTGTGTATTGTCTCTGTGTGGTGTGTATTCATGTATGTCATGCATGCCTGTAGTTTGTATGTATATTGTGTATGTTGCCTGTGTGTTTTAATAATGAATAAGCATGACCCCTGGTGGAAAAAAATGGAAGTGATGGGAGAAAAGGAATTCTAGAGATGAAGAACCCTCGCGGAGAAGACGTGAACCTGGGAAGACAGGAGGCAGGGAAGGACACACAGGGAACAGGCATAAACTCAGACAGGATGGAGTCTGGCCGCCCTTCCTAGCGTGGCTGAGGTCCCTCTGTCCAGTGCCGGGTTCCTTGCTAAGCCTGTGCTAACTCGGTGCTTGGTGCATTGCATGTGTTTGTGTAACCCATACGTCACTGTCCCAGCTTTGTGCATGGAGGTCAGGCACAGAGAGGCTCAGCCTTACCCAGCCAGGCAGCACCCCCAGACTGCCTGGCTCTAGGGGGCCATGTGGAGATATCATACATGTTGTCTTGGAATATTTCAGAACCATCCGGTGAGTTCAGGGGTGGGGCAGCAGGATGGAGTAGGAAGCTAGCCTCATCTCTGCCTTCTCCTGCTTACCATCGTGGTGAGCTGGGTTGGGAGAGCAGTCAGAGCAAGCGAGGTGGCATGTAAACTTGGAAGGGCCACGCCTGTCACAAGGGAGGGACCACAGACAGACTCCTATCTCATACGACCAAGTTCCAGTTCAAGGCTTCTGGAAATATTGCTTTTAAAAAAATCCAAGTAAGAGTGATTGTGTCAACTTCAGAGCTGTCCTGTGCCTCACCCAGGGCGTGGCTCTCTCCTCTGCACACTGGGCTCCAGCCAAGCAATCAGGGCCACTTGCCTGTGTCCACCTTGGCCTTCTGGGATGTTTTGTTTCTGATCCCAGCCCCCTCCAAAGACTGGCAAGGTCAAGTAAACCTGATGGAGGGCAGGAGAGTCTCAGGGAGGGTAAGTAACCCACCACAGTCAAACAGCAAGGAACGGCTCCGGCTCCATTCTGTCTCCTGAACCCCAGTGGGGAGGGCAACATCCCAGGGGACCCTAGGAGGTGACTCATGCAGCCATTTCAGAACAGAACATCGCCACCCCCCCACCCCTTGAATAGAAACACACCCAAACAATAAAATAGCTCTTTTTATTCACTTTGATTCGGATCATTGGGGGAATACTCAACAATAAATAAAACAAAGCAGGGGCCTAGGGAGGCAGACTCGCTAACATCATTGGCTCTGCATTCACACCAATCAGGAGGACTACGAGATGGGCCAGGCACGAGAAAAACAAAGTGTAAGTGGGTGACACTGGGCCACGGGAAGCAAGGAAGGAAAAGCTCTCGGGAGGGAAAGTGCTTGGAAAACTTTGGCTCTGCAGGGGCCTTGGCAAAGGGCTAACCTGATTGTGCAGGGGTCTGGGGGTGCAGGAGGGACCCATGTCCACCTAGAAGGGCAAGCAAGATCCAGAGGAGGCTCTGGAGAAAGAGTTACAGCTAGTGCCCTGGAGGCAGACCCTGGGTAGGAGGAGCCAAGCTAGAAGCTAAGTGAGCGAGAGCCTGGAGGAGTGAACATAGGGTCCTCCCCTCCATGGAAGGAGGTCATCAAGTGGAAGCTGGAGGCTGGGCCTGGCTGAGGCTGCACGCTGTTGGGTTAATGACGCAGCTACTACAATCTGGGGCTGAAGGCCGCTCTGCTAAGTCTCTGACTTCTCTCGTCACCCTCCTGTTTCTTACACGTGCTAGGTAGCATCTAGGGCGCAAGAGAGGGTGACAACCAAGGGGAAAGCTGATGTTATCTCATAATTGGTAGCCAGGCTATGGTGGCTGAGCAGCTGAGGCCACATCTTCCGCACCTCGGGTGACTACGATGAAACCCGTGTCTCCAGCTGCCAATTCCTGCGCCCATGCAGCTGTCACTCTGGCGGGAAGTGGGCACCCAGGTCCTCTCCCGTCATGCACAGTGGTGGCTACTTTGAAGGGCACAGGTAAAGCCAGCCTCTGTGTTCTCAATCATCCACTGTGATCCCCACATTTGACAGGGAGGTCCTTTTCCCAGGAGGTGCCATGGGCCTCTAGCAGCCCCAAGTGGCCACAGTGGAGACTGCAGCACCCTCTGTACCCTTTTCCTTAAAGCCATCTCCAGACTTCCACAGCCCCAGCTAGTTCCTGGCCTCCTTATTCTAGCCATCCTGTCCTGTACTTCCTAGGGTCTGTTCCACTAGCTCAGTAAACATATGGTTTACTGGATGTTTCCTGATGCCCAAAAGCCAACCTAAGGCATCAGTGTCAGGATTTTCTTCCCTGGCTTGTCTCTTTTGGGAGCTAAAGGCTTCTCTCTCCCCTAAGAGTCTGAGGGCAGGGGCAGCTACTGGCATGAGAAACACCAGTCACTGCAGGCTAGTAGTCTGGGGTGCCGCTGAGACTCCTCTGGGTTCCCCTGGACTTAGCAGCTTCTCAGTCAGCTCTGTGCACAGCAGCCAGCCCAGGCTTGTTGGGAAAGGAAGGCCCTTCCTGTTCTCAGCCACCCACACCCCAAGGAAAGCTCCAATTACCTTAAACTAATTGGTGCACTTAATTCTGGCCATGGCGGACTGCGTTTTCTCCAGTTAAGAGCCCACTGATAACCCAGTGAGACACAGGAGACGGCTGAGTGTTATGGGAAAGGGAAATGATGGCTCCTTGGCTGGAGGGAGGGAGGAGAGTGAGAGGAGGAGCTTGCTGAGCTGTGCTCAGCTAGAAATGGTTACGCTGTCACTGCAGACACTTGCTCTTGTTCAGTAGAACCGTACACCTGAGCTGTCACCCGACGCCGGCATCCACTAATTCTGATTTGTCCAAGGGATTGACCCAAAAGTGCACAAACAAAATCTACCGAATGCCTCACACCCGGACCCTTGAGGAAGCCTCTCCAGAGCAAGGACCCCCACAAGAGCTCAGCCTTTTCAGCCCAGGGTCTTACATCAGAAAGATTTTTAAAAGTGGAACATCATGGTTCCTCCATTAAAAGCTTGGATGCTAGAACTGAACAAAAGCTACGGCAAAGCCACTCACAGGACAGACTCCTGGAAAATGGCAGTCTTGGTGTCTGCTCTTTGGTGATGCCCAGTGAATGGCCCAAAGCTGTGTGTGGCTCCTCATTGAGGCCGCTGAGTTCTTATTGCAGAGGGCAACCTGAACAGGGGAAGACCTTGAAACCCCCAAGATACCTCCTTCATATTCTGCCTTGATGAAGCTGCTGTGGTCTTTAGGGGATGTTTTTAACACAAACAGAGGTTTCTCTTAGTGAACATCTGCAAGGAGGTGACAGTTACTGCCCGGTGCACATTCACCCCTGTCTCAATTCCCTCACCAAGGAGCCAAGGAGTCATCAGTGAGGTGGGAGGCGTCCCAGGCTGAGTGAGTCCCCTCTGCATGAGGAAGATGGCAGGCCAGCTGTACCAGAAAAGGAGGTGACATGGGCTGTACAAAAGATCATCAGTCACAGTTCTGCCCACCAGAAAGCCCCTGCCCAGCTGTCTCAACGCGAGCGCACGCGCGCGCACACACACACACACACACACACACACACACACACACACACACACACACACCCAGGAAGCTCAGGGGCTTCCCTCCCCTTTCTGCTCCCACTTGCCAAGCAAGGCAACAAAAACCTCGCGAGCAGTGATGGGGAAGAGTGTGCAGACAGGGTCAGCTGAATTAACCAATCAATAAATAACAGCAAGTCTATAAAAGGAGGAGGGAAGGACGGACAAGAGCGAGAAAGGGCACATGCATTTCAGTCGTGGTCCTACGATGTCCCCATTGCGACCCCCAAGGACTCCAGGAAGGTGGCTGCTAGGGACTTAGCCCAGTGTTCAGGACTCCGGGGAAGATGCTGGTTGTTTAGTGGCCCCGAACCCAACGGTCTGAGGAAACAGAAGTGAGCACCCGTCCCCTGCCTGGCTCAGTCTGAGTGATGCAGAGTGTCATCTCAAAAGAGATTCTGACACTGGTGCAGCCCCCCCTTTTTTTTTCCAGTTGGGGATTTTGCTTCATGTCAGTCAAAGCATGCATTCCTTCCTCAAGTTCAAAGGCACATGGAAGTAGTCAGACTTGCTCTGGCCATCCGTATCACCGTGGAGGGGAATCACACAGGATGGTGAGGAGGGCTTCCCTCCTGTGGCTGGGTTTCTGTAGGAGAGCTCTGCAATCAGAAGCTTTGCCCGCCACCATCAGTGAGCTTTGGGAAGAAAGAGACAACGGGGATGTCATGTCGAGTGACAGGCCAGGCCTCATGCGAAGGAGAACAGCATCTTGCCCCTGTGCTGGTGTAGTCCAGTGTGGCTCTGCTCTGTCTCAACTGTCACAAACATCCCAGCCAGAGTCTGAGTTTGAGCATGAGGTTCACAGTTCAGTGGCAGCCCCCAAATGATTTCCAGGAAATGCCAACCTTTTCTTAACATAGGAATCTTCAGGATTTATTTTCCCCATGCCACCCCCACCCCAGAAATCAAAATATAACTGTCATTATTCAGAGGTTAGACCTTTCCCAGTATCTTCCCACTTTCCCCCAGCTAGGGGACAGCAGCAAGGAAGTGTTCCCTCCTTCGAGAGGTCTGAGACTTGCTCGGTGCCCTGGGAGAGTTGGACAGCTTTGCCAAATGAATGCTACCAAAATGAGGGCACAAGAGGCTGCCGGCAAGCCGGGGAACACCCCGAGTTCAGCCCTGGAAGCTTCTGGAACAAAATGGCTCCAGTGAGATGCTGCGGCTGCAAGTTGAGAGGTGAAGTGCGCCGTGTCCGTCCTTAACCAATCGCAGCATCATCTCCCCTTGAAGATGCGAATTTTGTTGATGGCTGCCAGGGTGGTTGTGACATTGTACTCGAAGTCGGCATCATGTACTCCAGTCTTTCGGAATGCGCCCGCAGATGGGTTGTTTTCCCAGTAGTGGTGCCAATTCCCTTTGCTGTCTGCCCCGAAGCCATACAGGTCCACCTGTGGGGCAAAGGCAAGGTGAGACCCAGATAATGTGACCATGGCAACAGGGGATTCAAGGGAGGAAGTTTATGGTAAACATAAACGGTTCAGAGGAACCCTCTTCAAAGAGCCAAAGCAAGTGGAGTAATGCTCAAGTCCAACCCCAGTCCAAACGCACCTTGGGGTGACCTTAGGTAGGTGATCCTGAGAGGGACTGAGCCTGCATTGGAGCTCCCAGGGGTCCCGAGAGAAGGTGGGGAGAGGGGCTTGGAAAGCGGCCAACTGTCCCTCGTGTGGAGAGGAGGCCACAGGTCATGAACACGGAGGGTACACGACAGGTTTTCAACCCTTCCTTCAGAGGCTGGGGCCCACACACGCGTGACAGACACCAGTGGCTACGTCTTCTGCACCTAACAGTGTGCTCGCAAGTCAAATGCAGGCAGACCTTCTTGCCTCAGGTGCCACCTGGCAGGCACCGGGGACATACCCCTTAGGCTTCCACCCTTACTACACATGGCAGTCATCGACAGGATGTCACTTAGAGAGATGAGGATTGAATCCAGGGCGCCGAGGACACTGTGGACAGGCCACAGACCCGGGGCCTCTTACGAGGAGGGGGCATCCAAGTTGGGTCTGGACAGCTGGTGACCAGTACGGAGATACCCCGAGGAGCATGAAGGGAGGGCATGCCACCTAGCTGTGGGGTGGGGGACACACTGGAACTAGAGAGGGGCGTGCACAACAGAGCAGGGATTTTAGGTAGGACGGCAGAGAGGATGTGGGGTCAGGGTCTCGGAGGGTCCCACTCTGGCCTCACAGTTGGTGGGTAATGGAAGTCCCTTACGCCTGGTTAGCTTCCTAGAAATTTTGGTGAAGTGGGTCAGGGTGTGGCCAAGTATTGAATGTAGTTCCCCAGTGGCTCTAGCAAGCAATCTGAGGGTGGTAACTGTGGCCTTTGTAGCTCTTCCTGCCTAATCTGGTTAGAACCTACGCCTTCAGTTTGAGCTGAATCAGAGCCCAGCCACCCTCCCCGGAATGTTCCAGAATGCCCGCTCTTGAGAACAATACCATATTCCTGTCACTTTTCCACATACCTGGTGACACAGGTGCCAGAGACCCCTGGCGAGATGTGGTTAGAAACTTTCTCACCTACCCTGGACTCCCATGGAAACACGGGGCATGGGGGTGTGGGTGGATGGGTGGGTAGCCCTTGTCCTTGTAGCCTGCAGCAACACGGGCTGACATACCTCATCACAGACATGAATGGAGAAGATAACGGAGAGGATGCCCGTTGATGGGTACCGCCCATGGCCCTGAAGCCAGCTGTCAAAGACATACTTGATGAAGGCTGGGTGGTAGATCAGGATCTGCAGGGAGAATGGACTGGGTGAGTACAGCCAGTGAAGGACACAGAGCATCGAGTGGGTGCTATCCTGCCGTGGCTATAAGAACACGGTTGTGCAGAGCTCTGGCAAACTTCTCTGCATTTATGGACTTAGTGCTCGGGAGACTATAGGTATGTTGCACCGTTTCAAGGTAGGGCTGACGGAGGATGTTCTTCTGTATATATGTTTCTCTTACTGGTTGACGAATAAAAACACTGATTGGCCGGTAGCCAGGCAGGAAGATGTTTGGGGCTAGGAGACGAGGAGAATGCTGGGGAGAGAGACAGATGCTATGTAGACCACAAAGGAGTAACAGGTCCAGGCATTCCCCGGTAAGCCAGGACCATGTGGAAACACACAGATTAATAGAAACGGGTTAACAATTAAGACAGAGCTAGCCAACAAGAAGCCCTAGCCATCGGCCAACAGTTTTATAACTAGTATAGTGTCTGTGTGCTTATTTGGGGATAAAGGGCTGCGGGACCAGGTTGCGAAGAAACTCCGGCAATATAGAGCTGAAGAGAGTTGTGGGCTAAGGGCAAGAATAAGCATAGTGCTGGGGGAAGCCTTGAAGTGGGCAGTGAGTGGTGTGGAAATAAATATCCTCTGGGGTCATAGAGTGTGGCCCATGGCTCCACAAGTGCTCTGGGAATCAGTGTGAGGAGTCACGGCAGTGTCACTCTGCATTGAAAACATACCCATGCCGTGCCTGGCATTGGCTGGAATCTCTGACGTAAGGTAAACTATATGCGTGTCTTTCTTCTGCCCTTACAAAGAAACCAAGGCTCAGAGAAACTAAGCAACATGTTCAGTGCTATACAGCCATGAAGATCTACCTCCCTGTGCCAGGCACAGCCTTGGCCTCGTTCCCTGTGACTACCTTGGGGACACTGAGGGGGGCTTAGGGGACAGCAAAGGGTATAGGCAGCCTTATGCTATTCCTTTGGGAAGGGCTGTATGAATGGGTTCACAGGTCTCTTCATTTCTCAGCTTTGCTTCAGGGCATTGGAGTCTTAGAAAAGAGACCCACCCTGCGGAGATTTCTATGGCTTCTTTCTGGGACTGTGTTGCCTGAGGCCAAGGGCAGGCAGCCTGTTGCAGGCACATGGGAACTTCATCTAGTCCTAGCATGATCTATGCTGTGGCGCTGGGCACAGCACTGGCCTCTCTGAGCCTCCTGAACTATGACAGTGTGCGCAAAGATCGAGGGTGGTAGGTTTTTCACAAATGCTCCTGTTTTTGCACATACCTGGGTCGGAGCAGTATAGTGGACCCTGGGAAGGAGCCTGGCATTGGAAAGCTCTCAGGGGCTTGTGAGTGCTGCATGGCTGGTCTACCCTGCATTGGCTGTAGTCGGTTTGGGTACTCCTGAAGAGCCACACCTGTGGCAACTTCCCAGGTGGTAGGGCTGTTCGGAAGACCCACTTTGAGGACCTGTCCTTGTCAGTGCAGTTTCAGGGGTGCCAGGGATTGGGCACTCTGTGTAGCTAGCTCAGTGCCACCCTCACACCATCAGATCTTGAAACAGAAGTCACCAGAGGTAGAGGGTCCTAAGCTGCCACTTACCTTGTCTTGTTTCACTTTGATCTTCGGGGGTACGGGGACGTAGGTGCTGCGGATCAGGAAAGAGAAAGGATTGAATGTGGACAGGGAGCCACCTGGGTGTCACAAGCTCTGGGGAGTGACAGCCACGGTGAGGGTAGGGAGGTTTAGGCTCTCAGAAGCCACCTTCCTGCCAGAGCACAGCTCCTGCAGTAGCTCCAGAGTGGCACCAGGGGGCAACCCTGGCTGATGTAGGCCAGAATGGGGACCTACTCCAAGCCTTCCTTTCAGGGGCCCAGGGTTATTTGTCCCCACCTCTGTCCATTAGAGGGGGGCTCAGGCTGGTGATGGGGAACTGACCGGGGTGGCCTGAGGCTGTCCCCAGCTCATGCAAGCAGACATGAGCTACAGCATCAAGGTGTAAAATCCACTACTCATGGAACGGAACGTAACTGGTGTAATTCAGGCTCTTCATGTTTCTGGACACCAGGGGAGCACTTTGAGCCAGCTGCCTGGTCCAGCCTCTTGTTGAGCCCTCCTTCACACTCTGTCCCCTGGAGGCATGGAGTTCCTGGAACCCGTGATTCTTGGCTCTGGCTCTGCTCCCGAGAGACCTGGTCTAGGACCAGGAGTTATGTGGACATCTGGAAATGGAAGCCACTCCCCTTCGAGCAAAGTCAGGGACTGAGGAATTGGACCCAGATGGTTGCATGGGCTCTGGGTCAAGTTTCGGTGCTGGGCAAGTGGTTTGGCCCAGCCGTGGTCGCTCCCTGGAGCTCAGAGCTAATGAGAAGCACTGCTGTGTGCACCAAACGAGATGCCAAAGTTGCAAATGATAGGCGCTCTGCCTGGGGAGCAGATGGCAGCACTTACACCTGGAGAGCCAATGTTGACTTACGCACGAAGAAAGTGCTCAGCAGCCCTGCCTCTTCTGTGCCACAGTCTAATAGTAAAGGGCTCTCCTCAGCACCGAGGGCGGCCACCTATGCACCAGGAGGCATGGGGGAAGGGCAGGAGTGAGACAGAAGGGCACAGAGCAGTCAGCAGAGAAACTCACTGAGTGATGGTGCCTGTGGTAGTGGCACTGACCACCCACTGCAGGTCGGTGGTCTTGAAAGGGACCAGGATCATGCTGACATTCTCTCCCAGCTCCCGGAAGCTCTCAGGATACATGAGGTGGTGGGTGGTCCTGCTCCCAACATCTGCCTCAAAGCCCACTGTGGGTGCCCTGTTCATCCTGGGGGGGGGAGAGGAAAATGGGGCACACGGTAAGAATGCGGCAGTTAGAGTCACCTGTGTGGGAACCACAGGTGAGCTTCTTCGTTACCCGGGCCTCAGTTTCTCCATGTGAACAATGGGCTCATTCTAGACACAGGCCAGACAAACCTGGTAGAGCAGGCTTAAGAAGCCGCACCAGGAGGATGGCAAATTCAAGGCCAGCCTGAGAAACTCAGGAGAACGTGGCCTGCCTAGCATGCGCAAGGCCAAGTTGCATCCCTAGTTCAGCAACAGGTAGGCCAAGGCTTCTTTGTCTTTTTAAAAGATTTATTATGTATAGTGTTCGGCCTGCATGTATGCCTGCTGCCAGGAGAGGGCACCAGATTTCATTGCAGATGGTTGTGAGCCACCCTGTGATTGCTGAGAATTGAAATCAGGACCTCTGGAAGAGTGCTCTTAATTTTTTCATTAACCCTCCAGGACCCCCCCCCTTTTTAAATAAAAGCAAGTGGGTATGGGTTTTGCCCTCTAGTAATTGACCACCTGTGTAATCGCACCTACTAGGTGCAACTTTTTAATGATCCAGAACCCAGACAAGCTGTTTACCAAGCTACATCTTTGAACTCAGGACAGCCTGACCCCAAACCTGACTTTTCCTCTCATTGTGGGCATTCCCGCTGATACTCGCTACACTGAGAGCCAGGGAAAGAGTCTATGGACATGAAGCCATCCATCCATCCAACAACATACCCATCTATCCATCCAACATCCATCCATCTATCCATCCATCCATCCACCTACCCATCTATCCATCCAACATCCATCCATCTATCCATCCATCCATCCACCTACCCATCTATCCATCCAACATCCATCCATCCATCCATCAAACATCCATCCAACAACATACCCATCTATCCATCCAACATCCATCCATCTATCCATCCATCCATCCACCTACCCATCTATCCATCCATCCAACATCCATACATCCATCCAACAACATACCCATCTATCCATCCAACATCCATCCATCTATCCATCCATCCATCCACCTACCCATCCATCCATCCAACATCCATCCATCTATCCATCCATCCATCCAACAACATACCCACCTACCCATCTATCCATCCAATATCCATCCACCCATCCATCAAACATCCATCCATCTACCCATCTATCCATCCATCCAACATCCATCCACCTACCCATCCATCCATCCATCCAACATCCATCCATCCATCCATCCATCCATCCACCTACCCATCCATCCTCTTACCCATCCATCTACCTACCCATCCATCCATCCATCCACCCATCCACCTAACCTTCCATCCATCCATCTATCCTGGGGATACGGAATCCCACCTCTAATTATGCTCTGTGCCCCAGAACACTTCTGAGTATAGATTATGAAAAACTCAAGGGAGACATGGTGTTTTTTTTTTTTTTTTTTTTTTTTTTCCTTAGATGCCAATTCCACTCTGGGACAGAGGCAGCAACGCTGACATTAAAAGCTTCTGGTTCACAGCTATGCCTTAGGTACTTGGGAATCTCTAGCCAAGGCTTTCTCATTGCATGCCACCTTGCTAGGGAAAGATGGGGGAACTGAGGCACAGAGGTCAGTTAGCACGAGGGCCCCGGGCCTGGAATCTTGTCCTTCTGAGCTGAGCCATGGCATTTCACACACCTCTGAGGTTCCCTGGGCTTGGGATAAGGGTCCAGTGCTAACCTCACCACGAAGTCGTGGCTATCAATCTCGGGCCCATAGGAGGAGTCCTTCAGGTTCCCGGAGTTTCCCACGACGGCGCAGCGTCGGCAACCTCCCAACCTCTTGTTCAGCACAGGGTCCACATTCCCGGGCACCACACGAAACAGTTCCTTGATGGTGTCACTCAGGTTGTTAGGTTTCCTCTCCCGCTGGAGCCTCTGGGGTAGAGTACAGAGGGGATGGATGGTTAGCTTGGCTCCACTGCCTCTGGCTGGTCAGGCTGGCTCCCTGGCCACTACTAATAGTGAAGGCACAGATGGTTTAGTGACAGCGACCCCCATCCCGAGTCGGGAGACAGGAAGGAAGCTCATGTATCCACTCTACAGGTACTCTCTGGGTACCTACTGTGTGTGAGACAGGGCCTTTTGCTGACCTTCAGTTATGAGGACAGGGGCCAGGGCTAATTCCCAGGCACCGAGGATGACAATAATTACTGAATTTCTCATCCACATCACAGGCTAAGATCTAGTTTTGCTACGGGTGGCAGGTGAGACCAGCCTAGATTCAGGGTGCACCCTACAGCCAGGGCCACACGCCCTTCCCAGGAGAGGACACCAAAGACACAGGAAAACCATGGGATATGGGAGCAGAGATTGTGTGCTGCAGATGTAAGCCAAGGGGTGTCACAAACGGTCAGCAGCAGCAGCTACAGCAGGAAAAAGGCATGGGGGTAAGATCCCTTGGCCTCCGGGACTGTGCCATGTGATCGCTTCTGATGTCTTAACCCACCAGGTCAGTGGTGATTTGTTATGGGGGCCACAGGAGGGAAAGCAGTGGGGTTTTCCCTCTGACTTACACACAATAGATGCTCAATAAACAGTTGCTGACTGAAGGGGTGACTGAAAACCGTGATGTCTGAATGCTGCCGGATGATTGGTGGGTCCCTGGGTCCCTCAGACCTAGCATCTGTCTCCCGTCACCCTGCTCCCGGCCCCTGTTCTGCTCACCAGCCACCACTGGTAGGTGTCGTCTTCCATCAGGGCATTGTGGGCCGTCAGCAGCGGCTGCATGGTCTTGTTGAAGCGCTGGTCGAACCAGTACGAGACCTTGCCCTGGCTGATACAGTGTGTGCAGGTACAGGGCTGAGACTTGATGAGCCTGCGTAAGTTGTCCGAGAACCCCAGGACCATCTGCTTGGAGAACCAGGCAGTGGGCCCTCCGGTGCTTGAGTAGTTCAAGACGCAGGACGTGAGGAAGACGAGAAACAGGGAGAAGGTGAGACACTTGAGGGTCCTCTTCCTCGTGTTCATCATCTCAACCCTTTGCTGGGTCCTCTGTGTGTCACCAGGACGGTGGCAGAGAGGAGAGAGAGTGCACAGAGCTGAGCAGATAGGTCCCAGAGACAAAGGAGCAGCTAGCAGGAAGGGGAGGCCTCTGAGGCGGCCAGGGCGAAACCCGCCTGTTGGAGACGCGTCTAGGTCTGTGCTCTGGATATCTCTGTGTAGCGCATGAGTGTGGTCTATGAGATGCGATCTTGCTTATGCTGTCTTCCAGTTTGGTAAACGGGAGCGGTCCGCCTTTTTCTCAACCTCAAGCAAAGCAAAAATGTGGCCTTGGAAGAGCAATGCTCTCCCTCGTGCAAAAGGGATCAAGGTTTAATCCCCAGCCTGAGTGCTCCCCTGGAGGACCGGGAGAAGGGTCTTGGTGCAGGTTGTGGGGTGGCTGCTTGGCCGCCCTCCTCCAGAAAGTATGGCTCAGGACAGTCCTTAATTAGAGTGTTGTGTTTCCCAGGCTGTCACCAGGGATGGTAACTTAGAGGACATCTCCAAGAAGGTACAGAGGTTGATGAACATCTGTGTAGAAAAGGAGGAAGAAAAGAAGACACTTGGTGACCTTGATATGGAAACTGTACGTCTCTCCACACCTTTTCCAGAAGCCTCAGGGGCTTCCTGTGGGCTGTGACAGCATCTGCTTCTAGCCTGAACTCTGCCTCCCAATCCATCATGGCACTGCTGCGCCATGACGGCTCCCGCCACCTTAGACAGAGTCTCTCCGCCTGTCATGCTTTGCCCACTGCCATGAACCGATATACTCTGAAATCATGAGCCACAGTAAACCTGACCCCACTCAAGTTGTCCCTGGCAGGTACTCTGTCAGGAAAACAACAGCAACAGAAACCTGATGCAGGGGCTTGGAGCTCAGCAGCTCAGTCTCTCAATCACTGATTTCTGCCTCTTCAACTCTGAACCTACGCAATTTACATATGAGCAAGCGCCTGCAATGAGGGAAAATGGTTCAGGACCCAAGTCCCTTCCCCGGAGGAGTTTTGTTTCTTTGTTTTTGCAATGGGCATAGCCTCTCGATGTTGACGAACCTAATCCATCTCTCGATCCTTTCAATCATGTCTCCATTCAGCCCCTTGCTGTCCTGGGCTCTACATCCTGGGGATCAACACCCACTGCATGCAGGAGGTGGGTAGCTTCATCTCTACTTCATCTCCTGTCTTCACTGTACTTCAAATCCCATCTCCCAGGAATCCCCACCCTTCGAGCTTTGGCTGTTTCAACCTGGAGTTTGCAGCCACCTGGATACTTGGGAGAAAGGGTCAGACAGAGAGGCCCCGTTCTGTTCCAGTGCATTCCCCGTCTCTATAGACTGGGCAGGAAGAGGCGAAGAAACAGTTGGGGTCTCAACAGTCCCTCCCCTGTCCGGAAGACAGGAAGTAGCATCTCTTTTTATTATCTCTGTGTCACACAATTTTTCCCCATCCACCCTGACTCACAGCCCAGTGACTTTGGCCAAATCTTGTCTTTTTGTTTTGATTTGTTTTTTGAGACAGGGTTTCTCTGTGGCTTTGGAAGCTGTCTTGGAACTACTTCTTGTAGACTAGGTTGGCTTCAAACTCCCGAGTGCTGGCCAAATCTTGCCTTTCTTATCACTGAAAAGTAGACCCTCTCTAAGCCCCTGAGTTCTGACTCAGTGGCTTTATGTTGCAAAACCAGAAAGCAGAGAGTAAGACCCAGGCCAGTGGAAGGCCTCCAACATGCTACAGAGTAGAAGGCGCCTTTCCCAAACTGCTCTGCAGCCCTGTCCTGCTTACTGGGCACTTGGCGCCACCTATTCCTATTACAGAAGGTTTTCACGGGAATCTGGCCAACAGCTCCAAGAGTAAAATCAGTCATAAGCACAGCACAGTTCCTGCGTGCTGCGTGCTGTGTCCTTCACCTCTCTGATCCTTGCTTCCAGAGTGCAGGGAATAGAACAGTGCTCTCCAGGCCTGAGCGGAAAGAATGGCAGGCACAGAGGTGACCAGCTTAGGACAACTTCCTTCCTTCCTTCCTTCCTTCCTTCCTTCCTTCCTTCCTTCCTTTCTTTTTCTTTAAAGGAACAACATGTATTCCTTTCCCAACTGTTACAGTAAATCTACGTGGCAGAGACTGGTTTTAGCGGTTAGAAATAAAAAGTACAAATCTGGGGTTCGGCCATTAAAAGTTATTTACAACAATGGTAAGGAAAAAAAGACAACAAAAAGTTGTTTCACATTACAGACCTCCCTCCTGCCCCGACGCCTAACATATGATGTGTGAGACATAGCAAACAGTCAATCTGGGAGGGCAGTTACCAAGGGCTCCAAGGCCAATGCACTGAGCCTGTAGCTACTTTTGATACCCCAGGGCAGTGGTTCTCATCTGAGGGCCTCGACCCCCTTGGCAAACCCCTGTCTCCAAAAAGATTTACATTATGACGCATAATGGTAACAAAATTACAGTCATGAAGTAGCAACAAAAATAATTTTATGGTGGGGGGTGGTTTCCACAACATGAGGAGCTGTAGTAAAGAGCCGCGGTATTAGGGAGAATGAGGATCACTGGCCCAGGGGCTCCCTCACAGTGTTTCAGCTCCCACTTTCCACCTGCCTGTCCCTCTAGATCCTCTCTTCTTACGCTTGGGAGTACAGGTGCATTGCCCTTTAGAGCTTGCATGATCGACACCTCCATGAAGAGGCCATCAACCTCATGGCTCTGGGCAGCAGTGTTGGCTGAGGCCAATCTGTTCTTTGTGTTTTGCAATTCAGGGTCCCACTGCTACCTGTTAGAGCTCCGAGCAGCCCTGTGCACTAAACTATAACTAGAGCATAGCCTTTGTGGTCAGCTAGGCCTGGGTGTGAATGCTGAGCTTATCTTCCCTCGGTGAGAGACCATGGGTAAGTCAGTCTACCTCTCTGGGCTCAGGTCTGCTCCTTAAGACAGAGCGTTCATATTTCTTTAAGTATGTGCGTGTGCATGTGTGTTATTTTCTAAGGACCTATAGAAATTAAGAGCAGAGCTTCCCGGTATCTAACATGCATTAAAATAAGTCACAGATAATGGGGCTTGAGATTCAGTGGAGAAGCCTCTGATGCAGTTTACACACTAGGAAATGAACCATGAGCTTGAACCTGGGTCCCCATCATCAATTTCTCAGATCTGGGAATAAAAAGTCTAGACACCATGTCCCTCCCTTTCCCGTGTTTGGTACACCTACACTGTGCTAAGCAAGATGTTCCAGGAAGGAGATGCTGGCCTTGGAAATAGAGTCCCCTGAGCAAGATCTGGGGTTTCTGTGTTCTCACGCAGGGGTGTGTCCTACTTCTGCCTTTAATACCTCATTTGGAGAACCCATGGCCCAGTGAGTCAGAGCTGGAGCCTGCCCTAGCTCCTGCACCACCCACAGCCTGCAGCTGAGGTCTACTCAAGCTTCTTGCTGCTGACACTAGGTGACTCGCTTTCTCCTGAAGATGTCCCTTACCTACTACTTCCTGAGGGAACTTGGGAGACTGGAGATGTTCAGAAACCTTCCCCCCAAATTCTAGGATCCTGTAGTTAAAGTCAAAGTATGTGGTGGCCAGGGGCTAGGGAGGAATCTGCTTTCAAATGGCTCTGTCCAATCAAAGGTGTCACTACTGTATACCAACTCTGCTAAGAAATGCTTCTTGCTGACTTGGACGTCATTTCGGGTCACTGTCTACCATGGTGAGTGTCTATCCATCTCCAGTTAGGGAGGGCCTGAGCCTAAAATAATCTCATTTTGAGCTTTTCTTGCCAAGAGAGTTTTGCAGGCAACCAATGGCACCTGGGTAGACAGAAGAGAGAGGCCTTTCCTTTGCCCCCCCCCTTAGTGATGGAGGCCGCAGGTGGCTTTTGCAGTGGATTTTGGGGCCTGCCTTCCCTACTTAAAGCCTGATTTAAAGATAGATTTGTGTTCTGTGCTGGCTTCCTGAAGCTTCCTGGTCTCTGGGTTCCAGCCAACGCAGGTACTCTAAATACCCGAGGCCCCCCATTTCCTTAATTTTGCAAAGGACTGGCCTGTGAGGAACACTCATTTCCCCTCCCCATGCACTCAGATCGGATCCTCAGGGCTTGCCTTGGAGACGGATCCTTAGGACAACATGTCCAACCAAACCTGGCAGCCAGTGATCACATCCCTACTTACCCCTATGCTGGAAAGCCAACTAAATCCCCATTTTACCTTTACTTGGTCTGCCCATCCCAGACAGATCCACCACTTAACAGCCATGGAATAAACCTTCCAAAGGTGGAAGGAGGTGGCTGGGGAGACGGCTCAGAGGTAAAGGATGGTGGTCTGGATCTTAGAACCTTTATTAGCGCAAACCTACCCGCATGTAACCCCAGTTCTGAGGGATCTGATGGTGATACACACACACACTCTCACTCTCTCTCTCTCTCTCTCTCTCTCTCTCTCTCTCTCTCTCTCTCTCTCTCTCTCTCTCTCTCTCTCTCACTTCCTGTTCTGTGTCTCAGCAGCCATTAGGGACTTTCCCTTTGGAATGTCAAAAGTTAAACTGTTGGGTTTTGTTGTTGTTGTTGTTATTTTTTAGTTACAAAAAGTTACCAATTCACCTTCCTTCCTTCCTTAAGTTACATTTGTTAGGCATTCCGTCTTAGCAGTGAGGAAAGTAACTAATATGTGAAGTTCGGGCAGCCAGAGAGTCTCTTAGCAGTTTCCAGGAGCCCTGCTTTATAGAGGAGGAAGTTGGGCTCTGAGAGGCTGGCCTTCCCAAACCACATGGAGTTGGTGGGAACAAGCCTTTTAACGTATATCCTGTTATACAATGACATACAAGCCCTTATCTAAAGGAACTTGCTCTGGGTCAAGGCTAGGAAGGGCTGAGTTGGTTCCTGGGTCAGCCCTTTGGTGTTACACTGTCCTTCCTGTCCCCTGAAAGCCTGCAGTAGTCTTCTGAACATAGTTGACCTGGTGGTTCCAATAAGAATGTCCTCTCTGGGCTCTGGCATTTGAACACTCGGTCCCTAGTTGGTGGCACTCTCTGGGGAGGCTTAGGAGACACCTCCTTGCTGGAGGAAGTGTGTGTCTGGAGGTGGGCTCTGAGAGCTCAAGGCTTTGCCCTAATCCTGGATCACTGTCTCTCTGCTTTGCGTTTGTGATTCAAGACATAAGCCCCCGTTTCTCTTCTAGCTGCCATGCCTGTCGTGTGCTGCCTCTGCTCCATCGCCATGGACTTTAACCATCTAAAACTGTCCCCAAACACACCCTTCTTCTATAAGTTGCCTTGGTCATGGTGTTTTATCTCTGCAACAGAAAAGTAACGAACACACCTATGTGTCACCTTCACCGCCAGATAATGAAGCCAAAGACTGATGGCCCTTGTGTTGAATCTGCTGAGAGAGGGGTCAGGACCTCCCAGGAGGTCCCACTGAAGACTTAAATGACTCTGAAATGCCTGGCCAGTGACAGCTCAAGGAAGGTTCCTTGGAGCAGGTGGCTCTACAGACAGCTGAGGCTTGGTAGGGTTGAGGGATGAGAGGCAAGACTGAGGGCCCTCTCAGCCTGT